CATTTTGTTATTATCTCATGACACTTGTTTAATCAGCTACCATCTCTCCTATGGACTTTTTAATGTCTACAGTCTCAGATCAACACAGCCCTGCCCTTCCCATATTAGATTCTTGATGAATGTGTGTTGTTGTTATTCAGCCTGGTTTAATGTGCCCCTTTTTAACTTTGAGCACCCGCCCCTTTAAACCTCTCTGCACGGCCCTGGCCTGGTTGCTATAGTGACTGAATGGTTTTTCTAAATTGAAGTAGTAGGAGTACAAAAAACGTACAGAAGATGGAATAGTAATAGTAAAGATTTGAATAACAATACACTAAATATTGATGAGGCAGCTGTGATTGAGCAGCAATGTCCATCCAACTATTTTCACAGTTGTTGTGGTCGTGATAATTTTGTAAGGCCACATCGAAAAGGCTCAGATGATGAGAAAGTTCTACAAGTTGTGCTTTCATCGCTTGTGTCCAGATTACACACTGCACTGCAGTGCTGCTCTGTCTTTTCACTTTCATTTCTGTGTTTGCATGTGCACAGTGTGGGAGGCTGTGGTGACACCCTCACGACGGCCGACAGGATTTCGAACAGGTTTGATTTTCTTGCGACCAAACAATTGATGATCGGGAGCTGGTTGTGAGGTGTTAATAGTTTCTCGTTACTAGAGCTGGGCGATATAAGATTTTTTCATATCACGATATGTTTTTTTCATTTCAGGCGATAACGATATCTATCACGATATAAGCCAAATAACTATATTTGTAAGATTTAAATGTGCCGTTGCTCACAAGTAAAATGTGAAATAATCAGTAGCTTGTTTTTATTTAAATATTTATTTCCCATAATAAGTTCAACAGGGTAGATGTACTTAAGGAACATGAGACTTTTTCAGATAAATAAAGGCAAATAATGCAAACTACACAAAAGGCAGCCGCTAAAGCGTTTAAGTTTCAAAATAGAACAAACGAAACAGACTACTAAATTGTCAATTCCACTTAGAAATAAAATATTAATTCTAAAAATAAATCTTAGTTTGTTTTACAGAAGAACAGACAAAACTGACTAACTTTTGTCAATATCAAATAAACTGAGAACTAAAAGGAAATTCTCAATCTCTCCTTGTTGTATAGCTTAGCTTTTCAAACAGTTTTAACAGTTACTTTAGTCTGACAATAGCCGAATGACGAATTAGCGCTTCCAGTCAGAGACTGAGGCTACGTCCATACGTACACGGGTATTTTTGAAAACGGAGATTTTCCGTTTTTCGTTTTAAAAAATAATCCCGTCCACACATAAAGGCAGAAATGAAGGAAAACGCTGCTATGAACATGCCAAAGCAGCAGGTGGAGCTAGATTCCTAACCGTGCAGAAATGTTGGCCAATCAGAAGTCTAGAAGCCTCGGTGGGAAAAAGTAAACAAAGCTGGGGCATAGAAGCAGAACCGAGTCGTATGTGTGGAGGGACAGTAACTGTGTGTATATGTAAGCATTTAAACACTGCAGAGAGTAGAATTAACAGCATCAGAATTGTAGAAATTCATTTCACCGAAACAATAACGTGGCGCACAGTGTGACGTCAAAAAATGCGCACACCTTTGACGCTGCGTTTTCTCCGTTTTTCTAGTCCACACGTAAATCCAAAAACAGACTTTTCAAAAATATCCATCCTGGCCGGAGTTTTTAAAAATCTTCGTTTTCAGTGACCAAAAACACCGTTTACGTGTGGACGAAAGGTGCAAACACATAGAAAAATCTGCGTTTTCAAAAATACCCGGGTACGTGTGGACGTAGCACATGCACCAGTTTATTGTATTTCCAGACTTGCTTTCGGCACAATTTACAGTGCACGCTACTCTGTTTTTTGTCAGACTTGAAATAGCCGAAATACCTTCACACTACGGAACTTCTATGGCTCTTCCGTTCGACAATCACTTCTCATTGGAACCATCATCTGTTTTCTCTTCGGTAACCTTCGGTCACGCTCGGTTGATTTTTCTAGTCGGCACACTCATTTCCTCCATTACCCGGGCGGTACGGTGGCTGGCTGCTTCCCAAACAAATACACATGTTGGCTGTACGTAACAAGTCACGTGACGTGACGCTGCGGCTGTGATTGGTTCGGCTCTGCACTACTTAATTTGGATTGGCTGTTCTTTTTGGCTGTTCTTTTTTTTTGTTGTTTTTTTTTTAAGAGGACAAGAGCGGCGAGGTCTATCACAATAGTTTAATTTTTCTATCGAGAAAAAGTTATATCGCGATACATATCGTTATCGTTCTATCACCCAGCTCTACTCATTACCCCATGTATACTACACGATAAATGCACGACACATGATGAAGGCGAAACTTGGGCCGATCACCACCAGAGGCAGAGCCAGACATTTGAAACACCCGGGGCTTAGCCCTAAAGGGTAGCATGCATGTGGGGGGGTTTTTTGTTTGGTTTTTTTTTTTTTTGGGGGGGGGTGCTTTTAATTAAGCAGCAAGGCAGAACAAAATCAGGGCTGTATCAAGACACGAGGACTAAACCCCAATTCAACCAGACCCAGAACTGATCCGGAATTTAAACAGGACTGCAACAGTTCAAAATCAGGACTGCTTAGGACTTAACCAAGACAGAACCAGAATCAAAACTAGATGATAGTAGCACTGAAAATCATCATAGACCTGCACTACACTTATTTTTTTATTTCTACCAAAGTACAGATTCAGAAAAGTTTATATAATTATTTAGCCTTGTTGTGCAAACAAGCCTGCATAACTTAATAAATATATAACTTGAAAAATAACAAACCTAAAAAGAAACACTAGGTACAAGATACATGAGTACCTATGATACGGTGATACTTTTGGTAAACAACCATTTGACTAACGTGTGTCTCACCTGCTCTTGTTCCATCTCTGTTCTGTCCTCATTCTCCTCTCTATCCCTCTCTGTTCCTCTCTCTCCCTCTTTGTGCTGACAATCATCAAATATACAGTTGAAACCATAAAGTGTATGTAAATATCTGGTTTAAACTGTGAATATACTGCTGTGTATTGAAATACCTCTTGTTTTGCATAGAAATATACTGAATAACATACAAAGCATAATATATAAAATACTACCAGAGTTTTTTCTTTGAAAGAAGCCCCTTATGTCCATTCTTGTATATCAGTACATTACTGAAATCGATTTATTTAGCCGTGGACTGTAACAACTGAAAATATGAAATAAACACACATGTAAGCTAAGACTCTCTAAAGAAACAGCATTGTTGTTGTTCGGCTTTTCATTTCGCCATTTGTTGATTCACTTGAAGAGCGAGTAATGTAATATGGGTCAGTGATCAGTTTGATATCAATCTTTTGTGATACACCGTCATATTTACATTATTTGTACAGTACAAATGATTTGCTTTGGTACCTGGTCAAACTTCAGTTCTCCTCTCTGTCTGCCTGGCTCCGTTTCTCCAACAGCTCACTGGCAGGCAGCAGCTGCCCCGCCCCGCTTAGTGCCTGAGCTCTGATCATACCAATATTAGGGGGGATTTACGCACAGTTGTAAATTCCCACAGGGTGCACTATGTGCTTCGAATATTGTGTGTAGTTTTTTGTTTTATACAGTTGTCAGCCAGGCATCTAACTATGAAAAAATTACACTCCAAAAGACCCCGGACTTTTGAAAAAACAACCCGGGCTTAAGCCCAGTAAGCCACCCCCCCCCCCCCCGCTCCGCCACTGATCACCACAACTGAAAAATCGGCTCAAAATTGGCCAAAAATCGCACAGTGTATGCCCAGCATTATACACACTTCCTTTATGCAGTATCATTAGAAGGCATAGCATACATTTTCACTGCTATGCAGATGATACTCAACTTTATCTATCAATGAAGTCAGATTACACACACTAATTAGTTCAACTACAGCAATTTGTGCAATTGTAACACTGATGAAGCACCAATGAGTTAATACACACAAGGTATTAGGCTCAATATTGGGCTATTATTAATTAACTTGATCAGAAGCCTTAGGAACGGCTTCTGGAGCCTATGGTCAATAATGAGTAAATATATACAACACAATACGCTTGTGCAGGTACCATGCATGTACGTTTTACACCTTTTTCTGCTGATAAAGACTTGTTCACTACTGCAGGAAAGTAACCAAATAACAAAAAGTTTCCTGTTTTTTTTTTTTAAAAACAATTGTATTACTATTGGCTATATAAATTTGTTTTGGTTGTTTGTTTTTTTAATACAATGGGTCCACAGAAAAGGGCCATCTTCTGTGATTTCATAGAACTTTGTTAAATACAACTTCCGCCTGTAATTTTACACATTTATTCATTACAATTCAAGTTCAAACAGTTGTGCTGACATTTCTTTCATTCACTACATCAGCATTTTTATATCATGTGGGCAGACTGTGATGTACTGTTGGAACCACACTCATTTTTCTATTAACTGGGATTAAATGTAGATAAACAGCTTTACACTAACAGAAATGGGAGTTTCACCAGTCTGACCAACTCGTGATCAGTGTTGTGGTAAGACTAATTATTTCCTTTGTTCTGCGATTTACAAGACATGGGAGAATAATTCAATTTTAAAAAATTAATTGTGATTGCCTAGAGTCAAAATTAGCTTTCCACCAGTGACAACTTAAGAGGGTCATCTAAGAAGGTGCAGCAACTAGTTGGCTAACTTAATTTACTTTTTGACTAACAATTGCCTACGCTTTTTTATTTGTTGTTTGTTATTTTTGTTTATTTAGTAAAAAGAGAAGAATTTTATAAAAGACATGACCTAAGTGAATCAGCGAGATTAAAGTTAGCAGCTGGAGGATTTTATTACTTTTGGCCAGAGCATCCAACTGTCCCTGCTAATGATTGCTACCAGTAACTTCATATATAACACTAAAGACATAAAAGTCTATAAACACATGTTCATGAATTCATGATTCATGAACACGTGACCTAAAGCTAAACCACCTGTATGTGTATTTTATTATTCATATGCTTTCTTACCTTCATCATGAGTACCACGGTGTTGAGAGCAATCATGATCATGATGGAGTACTCAAACGGAGCTGATACCACAAACTTCCACATCCTGTACTGGAAGGACTGTGTGTTCTCAGGCATGTAACGTGTTAGTGGTTTGGCGTTTATGGCAAAGTCAATACATGCCCTCTGCAACAAAATAAAAATACATATCTGCTTTACTGTTTTTATCATTTGAATGGAACTTCAGTACTCTGTTTTGTATGGATAAAAGCCTGACTTTGCTAGAAATAATTAAATATTTTATTTAGGCACAAACACCACATTTTTTTCATTTTGTAACTTTGGGTAACAGTTTATTTAGGTCCCAGATGCTAAAACTGGATCATTGTTAAGTAAAATTAACCAAGAACAGGTATATATTACAAATAATGTATTACAAAAATATGCATATTTAGTCACAGAAGCCAGATAAGGAGAAAATACTGAACCAACAAATACATAGTGGTCAGTGGCCATACCCTTAATAATGTTTACCAAATGTTACCAAGACAATTTGACCAATCAACGCATGGACCTCTTAAGATTTTGAAAGTGTCTTATGGCTCTTAGCAGCAGATTATATTTAAGACCTTGGTCATTCCATCTGAAATCATCAAAATTTTAGAACATTTCTGTTAAACCATTTCCAATTTGCCTTAAAAATGTCTCAGCTTAGTTATTAGCTTTACAAAATCAAATATAGGATAGCACAGTGGTCTTCATGGGCTCCATTTTCCTCTTACAGTCCAAAGACAGGCAGTTAGTGGAGTTAGGTTAACTGGGGATAAATTGCCCATGTGAGTGAAAATGGTTGACTGTTTCTCTATCTACGTCCACACTAGCCCATATAGATTTGAAAACAGCGTTTTTGTCTGAAAACGCTCCGCACCCACACTAGCGTTGTCAGTTGTTTTCACAGAGTTGCGCTTCCACATTGAAAATGCTTACGTTCCAGTACTGCGCATGCGACCTGCCTCATTTCTGTCTGCCGTTTATTTACTTTCTGGCTCTTTGAAACGTCCCGGCAAAATGTTGAGGAAAACCACAGTGTTTTTAAAATGGATTAACAATGAGGTGAAGTTGTTGCTGCGAGTAACACAAAAGTACAAAGTTGCAAAAGCAAGTGAAAATTAAAGAATTTGAAGAAAAGCTATCTGGAGCATGTACAGACTGATATTAATCTTTAAGAGGGCTGTCAAAATTGAGAGCAAACAAAACAACTGCTGTATAATGCCCTCAGTTGTCTTTGTTTAATTGGTCACATAGCTGCATCATATGACTGACACTGTTTAGAAAGTCTCCATTTTCGCTGTCCACACTGTGACGCGAAAGCACCGTTTTCAAATGTATGCGTTTTCGAGAGCGTTTTGAAAATGCTGTGTTTTCCATGAGCGAAAACACTGTCTAAGTGTGGATGGAAGGTCAAAACAGAGAGAAAACCATGCGTTTTCAAACGAAAATCCTAACTTTTGTGCGGCTGTCTTCACCACTTAAAGACATGTTCCCACTAGGGATGGGTACCGGTGTCACCGGTTCTGACATAAACGGTAGCAACCAGACCGAAAAGCAGCGCACATTTTGGTGCTTTTTTTTCTTGAGCTGTGATACACTTCTAGCCAATCATTTTACGTTTCCGAGGATAGTAGGCGGGCCCAGGTACGTTCTTTTAGAGCAGAGCTACAGATTAAAAATGCCCAAGGCGAAGCTGTCAAAAGTCTGGCTGTACTTCACAGCAAAATATGCAAACTCAGCAGCCTGCAATAAGTGCTTTAAGCTGATACTGTGATACTGTCAAAGGAGGTAACACCTCAAATCTGATGAAACACCTGGCAATGCATAGCGTTTTTTTTAAAAGCCGAGAAATGCGCCGTATTTGATAGCTTTCTGCGAGACCTCACACCGTGCACATCTACTGCGGGTGGGTTGCCTGTTATCGGAGCCGAAGTTAGCAACATCCCCCAAAAACCCGAAGAGGAGAGTCCTGGCCCCTAGCCCTGCCAGTGTAGCAGAAATGATGACGGATGATGATGGCAGCAGCAGCCGTTCTTCTCTGTGTGAGTAGCTTAATGTTGTTCGTGTGTAATTTACGTTGAGTAGGCTAACCACGTTATTAAATTAATGCATGTAAGGTGAGCTAGCAAACGATACTCCCTTCACCCTGGACAAAAAGGCTAAAATGACCAAAGAATAAGAGAAAAACAGCTAAACATGAGAGGTTTTTGGACAAAGTTTGTGTTTTTTCCATTGTTTAAGCGCTGCTTCCAGTCAAGAGTGATGCCATATATGCCCCATAGCTGCAGAAAAGGCTAACATTGTTATATTTTTACAAAAAAACAGCTGAACATGAGAGGTTTTTGGACCAATGTTGTGTTCTCCATTCTTTAAGCACCGGTTCGAGCACTGTTTAAGCACCGGCACCTTATTTAAATATGAAATATTTTTAAAAATATTTCATATTTAAATAAGGTTAGTAGCCAGAAGTTTATTATTTAGGTCAGTCAACCAACACAAGCCAAATTTATACATATATTAATCATTCTAGATATAACACAGAAAGTTATTTTTTCAATATAGCTATGTTGTTCATTTACAAGTCCATCCTTCTGTGCCTGTCTCCTGTTTCCTGTTTTACTTTGACAGTCTTGTGTCCTTTGTTAGTGTATTAAGTTTTGCTTCATCCCCATCTTGTTACATTGGATCTTTCCCAGCTGTATTCCTCCTGTGTTTCTACTTTTCTCGTTACTCCCTTGTGTATTTAGCCCTGTGTTTTTCTCTGCCTGTGTTTTTCTCTGTCCGTTGTCGCGTTGGTATCGTCATTTAACTGTGTGTCTCTCCTGTGGTCTTTCCTGAGTGGTCCTAGGTAACTCCCCGCCCCAGTTTCTTGTTTTTCTAGCTCCCTAGTTTTAGTTTCCTGTTTAGGTTATGTTTTGTGTTTTCTTTGCATGGATGTTCACAGCAAATAAAGCTGCCTCTTTGAGTTATCCCTGTGTGTGTTGAAACCTGCATTTGGGTCCACATTCTGCCTGCCACAGCACAATGCATGACAATGGCATGATCAGGAGTGAGATAAGATGCTGTCCCTAACTCCTAAACAGAATCCCTAACGCCCTGATCTCGTGACCCAACTTTAACCCTAATTCCACAACTGGCAAGAGGGGATCAGTATGCTGATTGTATTTGTAATACATCTTTGTATATTTTAACCTTAATCTGAATTATCAGACTCCTCCGTGGCAGTAGGTGTGAAAATGGTAGGTGGATAGAGTAGGTTTTAAAAATGAAAAATATGCATATATTTAAGAACATTGTTTTCTCACTTATAACAGATGTACCATCTGTAAACTCCAAAATGTTGTTCTCTGCGGGTTAGACTATCTACTGATATTTTTTACTTTTTTAGTATAGTAGTGAGATTTGTTTTCCGGTTAGGCTGGGGATACATTTTCCTGAAAAAAACAAAACAAAAACAATACAAAAAAACCACGCATGGGGGTCCCCCAGTCTTTTTTTTTTAATTTATATGCTCCACTGCTTATTGACTGGTACACACGAGCAAGACCGTATAACCCCCATATTCCCATCCCTAACTATCTGTCACATTGGGCACTCTGTCCTATGCCTTGTTATTTGATTATGTTTGACACACAGCACTTTGGTCACCAGCTGTTGTTTTTAAATATGTTATAGAAATAAACTTGACACATTTTTTAAATTTATTTTTAAATGATATTAGATAACATCCAGAAGTTATCATTAGTTCTCCTTCACAACGTGTAGTTTTATTATTTATGTGTTATCACACATGGGGATTTTACGGGATTGCTTGATTTTTTTTTTATATTTTAAATGTTCAGACAGTTTTTGATGCCTCTATCACAAATACTGATTCATTTTGATGGAAATAAAGATCAGTGAAAATTTCAACCTTTTTAATAGTTTTTGAGATGATCATGTTCTAACATTGTCTTTTGTTTAAAAAACAGCAACAACAACAAAAAAAGCATGAAAGTGGGTGGAAGCCTTTTTTTTTTTTTTTAAAAAAATGCATAAAAAATTGAGGCTAAAATGATCAATACATACCCAAACTTTGGTTAGTTTGGTTTTTGTGCTGATTTCAGATGGCAAGACCCAAGTCTTCAAAACAAAAAAAATCACTTAAATAACAAAAATATCTTCTGAATTATAGCATTACCACTCAGAGAAACTTGGTATTACATGCGGTGTTCCCCAAGGGTCAGTGTTGGGACCAAAACTTTTCAATGTATACATAAATGATATTTTTGATGTTTCTCAAGTACTTAAACTCATACTGTTCGCAGATGACACCAACATATTTTTCAGTAGCGATGATTACACTGATCTTGTAATGACCGTAAACAGGGAGCTAAAATTAATTTAAAAAATGGATGGATATAAATAAATTATCATTAAATATAAATAAAGCTAAAGCAATAATTTCGGTAATTTAAAATATAATATTGAATTACCAATTATCATTGAAGGTGTACCCATTGATAATGTGAGTGAAAACAAATTTATGGGAGTCATAATTGATAACAAAATTTCATGGAAACCACACGTCAGAGACATAAAACCCAAAATTTCCAGAAGCCTCGCAGTTTTGAACAAAGTGAAACCATACCTTGATAAAGATGCACTTCGTACTCTGTACTGTACCCTGGTTCTTCCATATCTTACATATTGTGTGGAAGTGTGGGGAAACACATATAAAAATACAACTAATCCATTAGTCACAGTACAGAAACGAGCACTGCGTATTATTCACAAGGCTGGTTATCTAGATCATACTCACAAATTCTTTCTTCAGGCAAAGTTACTTAAATTCCAGGATCTGGTTAATTACAATACATCTATAATCTTATACAAAGCCTTTAATAAACTTCTACCTACAAATTTACAAATTATATTTGAAATTCGAGAAAGGGTTTATAATGTGAGAGGCTTCAGGGAATTCAAACTACCCAGAAATTGAACAACCCGTAAAGGTTTTTGTGTGTCTCTATGTGGTGTGAATATCTGGAACAGTCTGAGTTTACTACTGAAACAATGCAAAAATATTCATAGATTTAAATTCCTCTACAAACAGTTGGTCTGGTCACAGTATACTCAATGATGGTTTTAGTGTGCTCTGTAATGTCTGTTCTCTTACCATTGCTGGTATGATTCCAAAAAAAAAAAAAGTGTGTGTATGTATGTACATATATGTACATGTGTGTGTAGATTTAATAAATGTATGTATGTATATTTGTCACTATGTAATTATTATTGCCTGTTACCTGTGGTAACGCAATTTATAATTATTATATATTCTGTATTTAGTTATGATGGTTCTGATTGTTGTTTGCGAGCTGCCGTTGAGATGCTTGCATGTGCCCGGGGCTGTTGATGGTTTGTTTGGTTGTAACGATGGGCGTAGCTGTGGGAAGCTTATTGTTTTTTGTTGATGAGTGAGTATAGGGGTGGGATTTAATAAGTTTTCTTCGTCCCACTCCTTTTCAGGTAATTTTTGTTTTTTGTTTTGTGCACTTTATGTTCAATATATATATTTTGTTGTGCCTGAAATGAACAAATAAATGAATGAATGAACATATTGTAATACTAAATACTTCTGAGCTCTTTACCTCATTTTTTTCTAGGCTGCACTCAGACAAGGCCTTGTCTCCTTGTTCCTGGAAGGTGATGATGATTAGAGCAACAAAGATGTTGACAAAGAAGAAGGGGAAAACGACAAAGTAGACCACGTAGAAGATTGACATTTCTATCCGATAGCCTGGACTGGGACCCTGGTCTTCAAAGGTGGCATCCACGGAGTGCTTCAGAACACTGCAGCAAGGAAGGTACAGGAACATATCCATGCAATCACTTTAAGCTAAGCATTATAAACTATATAACTCAGGCTAGGAAACGTTGCTGTGTGTGTTTCCCAAGAGAACAAAGTGAAACAATTCTTTAGTTAAAGCAAAGTAAAATTAGCTATTAGCTAGAGCAGACTGCAGGATAGTGGGGATTGTTGTGTGTCTTCCCCCTCTCCTCACTTTCACTATCCAATAAAGGCAAATTGCAAAAAACTAAAAAACAAACAAAAAGAAAACAAAAGGTTACGAGAAATAAGCTGTATATACAGTGGGTAAAACAAATACTGAACACGTCACCAGTCTTCTGTATATATATTTCTAAAGTTGCTGTTGACATGAGATGTTGACATGAATTACTACCAGAAGTTGGTAACAACCCATCCAGTTCACACATGCAAAGAAATCAGGCACTGATATCCCTAAATTAAGTTACCGTAATTGTCGGGCTATAAGCCGCTACTTTTTGCACAAGTTGTACGCATTGGCTTCAAATCCTTAAGGTTCTTTTTCTTTTCCATAGATGAGATTGGATTCAGGTTAGGTAATTGACTGCAGGATTCTATCAGTTTTATTTTCTTTCTCTGAAACCAGTTGAGAGTTTCTTTGAGTGTGTGTTTGGGATCATTGCCTTCCTGAAACATCCACCCTCATTTCATCCCCGTCATCCTGTTAGATGGCAGCAGATTTTTTATTAACAATGTCTTGATACACTGATACATTTTTCCATTGATCCTTCCTTCAATTAAAATAAGTGGTGCCAGTGCATTATGATGAAAAACAGGCCTCACACCATGATGTTCCTTCTTCTAAACTTCACTCTTGGGGTTGTATGTTTGAGGTGATAAGCTTTCCCTTTTAACCTCAAAATATGGTGTGTATTATGGCATCAAAAGAGTTCAATTTTGTTCTTATCTGACCAGAATATATGCTCCCAGTTTTTCACAGGCTTTTCTAAATGTTGCTCAACTAAGTTTAATTGTGTTTCAACATGCGTTTTCTTTAGCAATGTAGTGATGCTTGGTGAGCATGCATACAGGCCTTGGCAGTTGAGGGCATTTTTTTTCTTTTAAAACAATTATACTTGCTGATTTCAGGTCATTCTTTAGCTCTCCACTAGTGGTCCATGGTTCTTGGACAACTTTTCTGATTTTTTTTTTCACTCCTCTTTTTGAAATCTTGCAGGGAACACCTGGTTGTGGCCAGTGTTGGGGAGTAACGGAATTAATGTACTGCCGTTACGTATTTAAAATACAAAATATGAGTAACTGTATTCCGTTAGTTACCGTTTAAAAAGGTGGTACTTAGAATACAGTTACTGAAATAAAGTGATTACACGGCGGTATTTTTCTGTTTCATATGTTCGGCTATGCCCTCTCTATTTTTGGTTTCCACACCCCAAACAAAACACGCATTAAGAGGCCTGTGTCTCAATCTCGCAGCCCATGTCACCTCTACTTGCGGCCCACATAATGACGTGAAGAAATATTTTTAAAAATTATTCACAAAAATGATTTAATATGAAGGCAATAGGCAGAGTGTTACAGGCACAGCCATAAAGAATGTAGCTTCATGGACAGTGTAGTCCCTTCTGCAGGGAGAATGGACTGCCGTACCCGTTATGTGTCTGTGAGCGAGGGAGGGAGCTGTCACCGAGCAGAAACGGGAGCTGGAAGCATGCAAATATAATAATAACCACTGCAGCCAAAAAGAGTGCCTGACGAGCCCAGTTATAAGTAAGCTATTAAGACTCGGCTGTACACTTTTTTCGTGTTTTCCTCCGAAAAAAATAAGTTCCATTGGAGCAGCCTTTCAACGCCTCTCTCTGTCTCTCGCTAGCAAAGTTGACCGAGACATAAAGTAAAGCTAGTTTTCGGCTATGAGACCGACGCGGAACCCGACATATTAGCCAGAGGTCCCTTTACTACGGTTCGGAGCCGCGGACCTGTTTTATATACGCGTGCAGAGGTAGAAAGAGTACTAAAATATTTTACTCAAGTAAAAGTACCATTACTTTGCTGAAATTTTACTCAAGTACAAGTAAAATTACCTGTCTAAAAATGTACTCAAGTAAAAGTAAAAAGTAGCTCATTTAAAATGTACTCAGAGTAAAAGTTACATAGTTACTTTTCTGTCAGCAGGAGGACAGCCGCTTCTGAGTAGTGCAAAAAAAGACAGTGGGATATAAATCTCAAAGTAGTTCTTTTTTTAGTGAAAAGAAAAACTTTACAAATTAAAGTGCCGTGGCAGTTAAACTGCAAGTCTATACATGAAAATGGATAATGGTCACCAAACCAATCAACCAAACTGTCAGGTATCACAGTGTTTTCAATACAAAACCCATATCATTCTTTCACATGAGAATGTGTTCTAAACTGTCAAATAAGAGAACAAGTACTGAACTGAACGGCAGCTGCTTTAAAAATGTTTTTTTAATTTTTTAAACTTGGCACCTGCCCTACTGTACCTCTAGATTAAAGTTCCTTTGTATCCATCCTAGAGTGTTACTCTCTGAACTTCCTGTTAATTTTGAGGAGCAGTTGATTTTCAAAGTTAGTAGAGTTCATCCTTGCTCACTTTGCAGTGAACAGTAGTCCAGCACAGCTAAAGAGATGCTCGAAGGCAGCTGAGGCAGGCAGGCCAGTGTTAAGTTTGAGAGAAAGTTTTTTGACGTCCCTAATAAGACATCAATGCATTACATAGCTACCGCTGGTAAAATATACCAATATACCTCGTGTTTTTTTTTATTGGACAGTAACAGGCTAGTTAACGGGAGGTTGCAAGTGCTAATTTACAAGTAACAGAAGTCAGCTGTCTTTGACTAATCTAAGGTAAGTGAGCACTCTGTTATTCTTTTGCCTGCAGTGTGAACATATGTGGGTTAAGTAAGAAAGTAGCCGCTTCTGTCTTTAATTTAACTATTTTTTAAAATAAATAATTATTATTAACAAACAGGAAAAACGTAGGTAAACACATTTTCTTTTGGCAATTTACCAACCCAGTAAAAAAAATGTAAGTTGCGTGGACAACAACGTGCCCGATTACAGCAAGTTGCTGTACCAACCAACGTTATCTGTGTTCTTCACAGATGTCTTAACTTAATGTGATTAATTTGAACACAGCCTTTTTGCTACCATAATGGTACGAGTTGTATTTAACTTACCTCTACATGCTTGCGCAGGTTTGATGTGGAATTTTAAAAAGCTGCTAACTCGGTCTCTCTGGGCAAACACAGCTTACACTGCATAATAAAGCTGTTGCCTTTCTTGCACTTGAAGCCGAAATGGTCCCTTAAATACGGCCAGGGGTTCACATCCGTTTCTTCGAGTTCAGGGTCAGCAGAATTCGACGGGGCTTCTTTTTTCACTAGATCCGTGACACCGACGTCAGACTCCATCTTTAATGTGACCTTAGTGCCAAGTTGTTCTACTACCCATCATTCCCTGCAGTATTTCCGAAGCGCAATGTTTTTTTGCTTTGTTTTTTTAATTTACTCAGTAACGGGTGTGATTGAAAACGTAGCGAACTACAATACTTTAAAAAAAATACGCTTAAGTAAAAGTAAAATTACAGCCTTGAAAAATGACTTTAAAAAGTACAAATACACAAAAAAACTACTCAATTACAGTAACGCAAGTAAATGTAATTCGCTACTTTCCACCTCTGATTGTTACTGACATCTTTTGAGAATTTCATGTCAATAGCACATTTCGAAATATATATAATATAAAATTAGTGGCATGTTCAATACTTATTTTACCCACTGTAATGGACTTTGAGAAGAAGTCCTGGCCAAGTGTTATATATCGTTTTACAGAAAATTACTCACAGAACTATCTATGAAATAAAAAGCACTGGAGTTCTTTAAATTTGTTGAAGACATTTCATCTCTCATCTGTGAAACTTCTGAAACTTTCATTTCCACCATTCATTAAAAAAGGGTAGAGAGTTCCAGGTATTTAAACACTAGTGAGAGTTATCCCTTAAAGAGGGTTGTTGACCCACTATTGATCAGACGGCTCATCACATGAGCCAAGGTGTGAAAAAGGGTGTGGGTCATTATTAGCAGAGATTTCAGGTAAACCATTGTGAGACGTTGCCTCACCCTATCATGTGACCTATTGAGATCACCTGATAGAAGATGTGAGTGGGCATTAAGGCACCTGGGAAGGGTTCTCAAAACTGGCAGACAGTTGGTGTTGAAAGACTGTGATGTAACAGTGTTATAACACTGGGAAATGTATAAAAAAATTATTTCTAGGAAAATATTTACAAAAGTTAATCCTGGTTTGTAAAGTCTTATTGACTTGCTATATTATTTTAGCATATTACTTATGTAAGCATTCCCCTTAAGTGTCAGGTCACTAATTATTGGTCCATCTGTGCTCACACTAATCAACTCTTCACTGGCGTCTGGTATAGTTCCGGTTTATTTTAAAAGTGCTGCTATTCTCCCACTTAAAAAAAACAAAACCTCAGCTAGACCCATCTCTTTGGAGCAGCTACAGACCTATCTCTAAATTACCCTTAATTACTAAGCTTCTAGAAAAGGTTGTGGCTAAGCAACTTATACCAACTCTGGACAAACATAGCATTTGCGATAAGTTTCAATCCGGCTTTCGCAGAGCTCACTCCACAGAAACAGCCCTTCTTAGGGTCTCAAGTGACATTTTGATGAATAATGATGCAGGAAAATGCTCGGTCCCACTTATGTTGGACCTCACATCGGCTTTTGACACTGTTGACCACCACATCCTCCTCGAAAGGCTTAAATATTGGGTTGGTGTATCGGATACTGCCTTGGAGTGGTTCTCCTCATATCTACATAACCGATCTTTTTCTGTGGTGGTCTCTGATTTTAGGTTATCCTCTGCCTCCCTTACTTATGGTGTCCCTCAGGGTTCGGTTTTGGGGCCTTTATTGTTCTTAATATATCTTCTCCCGCTCCAGCATATAATGGGCTCTTTTGAG